TATATATATATATATATATATATATATATTTAAAATTTAATATTAAATAAAAAATGTTTTTTTATTAAAATAAAGTAATTAAATTATATTACAAAAAGAAAATACAAAAAATATATTTTATATAACATTAAATAAAAAAGATTTGTTTATTAAAATATAGTAATTAAATTAAATTAGTAAAAGGAAAATAAAAAAAATGGAATGTTAGGAGTGTTCCCAGTTCCTAAAAAATGTTAAGTTTAGATGCTTAAGGAAGCCGCGCACTTAAAAAGCTGATGTGACAAGATGTTAAGGCGAAAAATACATAATTTTGATTACAATATTATGGAGGGTTGCGTAAAGATTAGGTTGAGTAGTCAAGGGGATGAAGTGCAAAGTTTGTAGTGGGAGGCTGGGAGCCAATAAATCGAGACACAAATATCCAAAATCCGACACATGTATTCTATCTCCATTGCTAAGAAGTCTGCAAAATCTAGGGTTTGTGTTGCGTCTTAAATTCGATCTCATCTTTCCCAAATTATTTAAATTTCCCACATGAAACCGCCAAACTCATCACAAATCGTAGTGGGATTTCTCTGAACTTCTATATCTAGCGTTTGTATTCGATTTAAAATCATCAATTAAGCTTTTTCTTGGGATTTGTTAATATGTTTGACATTTCTTGCCTGCCATCATCATCGCTTTCTTTATTCGTGATTAAGCTTCAAAATCTCCGTGTGCTTGGTCCTGGATTGAATCCTTTCGCTCCCTACAACATGGGTAATCATTTCTGCCGCTAAGTTTTTTCGTTTTCGCTTAGTTCTTTTCTCAAAATCATGTAAAAGAAGTCGTCAGATCTTCGATTCGAGTTGTTTTTCTAGTTCACAAGTTAGGGTTCTATTGTTTTTAAGAAGCAAACGTTTTTAGTTAATTTCTACACATACATCTGCTCTGTTCTGTTTAATTTGGGCATATTACGCAAACGATTGAAGAATGACCCAAGATTATTTCTTGGTTCCAAATGGCCATCGGAGGCGCATCAGACGCTCCATCAGTTGTGGGAACGATAGGGACGACAGAGGCTGGACTATGCTTCATGTTGGTGCTCGGAAAGGGGATCTTAAAGAGGTGAAATGAACATACATTATTTTCAATGAATTTATTACTTTAGTTAAATTAGCAAATCATATGCGTAGCTCATTTCTATTAAGTAATTATCTAATCTTCATTTCTAAGAGGAAAACAAATTCTTGTTTAAATTGTCGATGAAGGTTATAGTTATGGAGAACGAATCAAAATAAGGTATCATAAAGAAACAGTTTGATATAGAAAACAAGAATATGTGCAAAACATGTTAAGCACCAAGTTTGAACTCTTTTCTATTATAATGTTTTAACTGATATGGGTTTTTGTTAATGGTAGGTTAAAAGGCTTCTTGATGAAGGAATGGATGCAAATGTTGCAGCATTAGGCCCTAAATCGCATGGGGTAACCCCTCTTCATCTTGCTGCAAAAGGTGGTCATGTAAAGGTTATGGATGAGCTCCTTGAACGTGGTGCTAATATTGATGCAAGAACCAAGGGCGCTTGTGGCTGTAAGTCCATTACATCTCTTCATGTCAAAAAAAATTAAAAACACATCCATAATATAATGCATTGATTATTGAGTCAACTTGTGTTGTCTTAAATGACAGGGACTCCACTACACACTGCTGCAAAAGAGAAAAACAGAAAGGCGATAACATTTCTGATTGAAAATGGTGCATTCTTGCCTGATAACATGGAGGATACCAGGTTTAATCCACCAGTCCACTACTGCCATGGTCTGGAATGGGCTTATGATGAGATGAAACGTGTTCAACAAGAAAGTGGCTCAGGCTCATCATCTGGAGAAGGAGAGGGCTCATACAGCTCTGAAAGCTAAGTGTTTGACTTTCAAGTAAACATGTATTGTTGACCACAAACTATATAAATATTTCTGTTGCTTGGTTTGGGTGTTTGTGTGTGTTGACTATGTGAAGAGTATGATTGAAGTTGGTTTGTCTTGTTGAGAATCTTGAGATCCATGGATTTGATTGTCGATAGAATTGGTCTTAATAAATGATAGAATTGGGTTTATTTGAATGTTAAAAGGGAAATCTAGTACTATCTATTTATGATCTGTTATAGAGTTATTTACTAAAATGATTATTTTTAGGGTCTTAATATTATATTTTTGAAACGATTTGCAAGTTTTGTTGATACAAACTTCAGTCATTGCGAAATGTCTGATTGAGGCTATGAAAGGCGATGAAGAAGACCCACAGAGAGGGAGGGTTTTAGAGGGACTTGGAACGACTAAACCGTACTTGAAGGTTATATTTTTGAAACTATAAAGAGCCTTGAAAAATGTTGGAGTGTTCTTTTAACACTGCTTCAATTTCAATTGAAAATAATACTGTATTATATGCCTTATAAAACTACAATGAGCAGACGGAATAGCTTAGAAGGCTAAACTGTACTTGCTTACTATCCAATATCCATTGATCCACATGCATAAAAAAAATAGGTGATCTTCGCTTGTTTTTCGCGGTGGAAGGGACAAAATATAGACATAATGTGACAAGAATGAACTATTAAATGTGGGGACTTGTGGAGCTTTTGTCTACGCGGTTTGGCGAGTTTATTTTCGGGGCCTATATGATTTTTTTATTTTATTTTTTTTAATTAGAGAAAATGAGGGTTATAGCCTATATCTAAAACTAGAAGTTGTAATTTTTATTTGTATAGGAATATTTAAATATTTAAAATTACATAAAAACTAAAAATTAAAAGCCCTTAAAAGCTAAAAGCTCATAAAATCTAAAAGCTCTTAAAAGAAACTAAGTAACTTTTGGATTATAAGTTTTTTGTAAAAAATAAAAAGCTTTATGCCGGTACTCATGAACAAAGTTTTTTTTGTTGATTCAAGTTGTTTTTCTTTATTATTAAAAACTAAAAACTCGTACCGAACTGTAACGTTCCAATAATAAAACCCAAAAATTTCATTTTTAAATTGATAAAACCAGTATTCCAAAAACATCATCATATAAATCTAAATAAAACAAATGTATCAACCATCATCTCACATTAGAGAAAGTCAAGAAAATGAGGAGCGAGGTGGTGTGTGCTATGCAATCATTCCAAGCTCTTCCATTTGAAAATCGAAGTACCTGAAACATAAACTGAAAACCGTAAACACAATGCTTAGTGAGTTCTCCAAGATACAACATACCAAACATAATAAATCACATACTGGGCCCACCCTCCATCGGGCCCCGCCCGGCATCGAGTCCCACCCGGCCTCGGGCCCCACCCGCCATCGAGCACCGCTCGGTTTACAGATCTGTCAATCACCAGGCCTCGCCCGATACACATATAATCATATATCACATATAATCATACTCGCACATACGATAATCACAAAGACAATAGCATACCATATAGTCATCAATCCCCGCCCGACATCAGGCTTTTCCTGGTAAGCATAAAAACACATACTGATAACTAGCATACAATATACTCATCAGGCCCCACCTGACATCGGGCCTTGCTCGATAAGCATACCATCACCTAACACATGCAAGAGTCACGCAAACATCTAACACCCTAACATATAAACCATGGGCCAACATTGGTGCCTTCGACCCGCTAAACTCCGTGAGGAGACTCACCTCGCACTGCTGAATCACACTGATAAATCCATGGCTATTGGTCCGACAAATCCCCGAGCTATCAATATCAAATAACATCTAATTAGTAATCGGATCTGGTCCACGCTAAGTGCCCAAACTAGGGTAAAAGACCTTTTTACCCTTTATTAAACATGACCCAAACCAAGGCCCAAACCAACAATCCAAAGGCCCAAAATTTGAAATAAGCACCTAAGGCCCAAATATGGCCCAATTTTCCAAATTGGGCCCAATCCCTTTCATGAGCATTCACCCAAGAAAGTCCAATATAATTTCAATAGTCCAACCATAAAATTTTGATGACTTAACATGGCCCAAGAAAACCAAGCCCATCCTAACCCAAAGCCGAAGCCCAAAAAAATGAAACCCAAGTCTGCTGAGTACAAGGGGCATACTCAGCCTGTACGCCCAGCGTACAGCATAAACGACTTGTACGCGCAATGTACAAACTTGTAAGCCCAACGTACTCACCAACTTGGCCAACTATTCCATTTCAGCTCTTAACCCATTAAGACTTCGATCCAAACTCAGACTTGACTTCCTCAAGGTGGTTAAACACATAAAGTTGCCAAATTTATGTGCATGCATGGCTAAATGGGGCTCTAGAGCTCAAAAGAGCTTAATAAACGACTTAATACATGCATGAGACTAAAACCACCATAAAGTTTGCACCTTTATGCCTAAGGAACCCTTAATATGTCCAGATCTATAAGGCTAAGCTCCAAAAACGGCCTTAACTCCCAACCACCAACCAAAAAGGACCAAAATGACTAAAAATATGCCAAGAAGTAGATCCATGAAATGAAATAGCAAGGTTTGAACTATATACCTCACAAGCCACCAAAAGAAGATGATAAAGTTGGATCTTAAAGCCCTACTCCAAAGAATGAGTCTTCAAGCTTCTTCTTCTTTTACACAAACCACCACAAACACTCTTCCAAGCTCCAAAACTCACTCAAGGCACTTTAGGGTTTCAATATAGGCTAAAGGGGATGGAGGTTGACCTAAAATTTCCAGAGGAAGGATATAATGTTGCTTATATAGGGGTAAAACCCCCAAAATTAGGGTTTCTTAAACTCCTCGTACGCCCAACGTACTCCTTGTATGCCCAGCGTACGAGGCCGAGGCTTCCCGATCATTCCCTCTAGGTACGCTTAGCGTACACCAATGTACCCCCCGCGACCGAGCCCAACCCTAGCAGGGCTCCAAACCCCAAAATAAACGAATTCTTTCCCAGCCTAGAACAATCCCATGCAGAATAGCCACATCTACTCAACCTGAAATCTGAAGTCTCGAGTTGGTCTGACTCCCCGACAGACCGCCCATACAGAACCAGTACCAGGTCAAATCCTCATTGAAGTCCAGACTTAAACAAAACGCTTCCAACCCTTGATTGACTTGATACTTTTATTGGGAACAAAATCACTGACCATTTATTGATGCAAAACACTTATACTTGACAGAAGGCTCAGATAATTCTTCGAGTAGAAGACTCATCCCTGCAACGGTTAGACTCAGACGAGAGCTGTGTAACAGGGTCAAATCATTTACTCTGAGATTATTTAATCCAAGCTGCAAGTGACTTAGCATATTCTCCAAATAACAAGCGACTCCACACATAAGTTCCAAATCACTAATACCGCCTTGACTTATCTTGATGCCCCTCACAGATAGAACCAATCCAAAACACATTCACAAGGGCCTGATCTACCATCAAAACTGACTCCATTCTTTTTCCCTGAACCCTTCAACCAATGCCCTCGACATGCAGATACCCTATTTCATATCCTACTGAAAAGAAGACCTTGCACATAAACACCCACGATTCCCATCGCAGTCTTACGACACTTCTAACCAACCATGGCTACCACCTATGACCTTACCACATTTGAATCATCTCAACCCCAATTATACTGAGTCGAACCCGCAACCGACCAAATTCCAATCAAGTGTTCGGGTCATGATTCGAACCCCAAAGCCTTCATCATATAAGGAAAGGCAGCAAGACTATAACACAACCATCGACCTGGATCCATCCACAAGCCTACCATGCATAACAAAAAGACGCCGACCAGCTGTTGGAAGTTTCCTGAATTCCCAACTTACACAACTTCAATCCAGACGGCCACTTGGGTCGTCTCTCCTCCTGACTGAGATGCGAAACTTACCCTAGCTTCACACCCGATCTAACTCCCGGAAATTCTGATTGATTCTCCCCCACTTGGACTCGTCGAAGTTCTCCTGTCCCATGAAACTTGATGGATTCCCAACCCATCTTATCTTCGTACAATGAACCGACTTTGATATGAGCGTACCAATACTAGCGTCCCATTACTAGCCAAATTCAATGATCGCCCAACTCCTGAAATTCAGATAGATACTCCCAGAGATCCCAACATCCCGATAACCCCAAATGATTACCATGATACCACACCAAATCCTTAAGTCCTTATGTTGGAGGCTAAAAAAACCATAACCCTTTCTTTGAACTGGCGAATCTTCATCCCAACATCCATCCTCAAAGAATCACTAAATTCTAACCATCTACAACCCCTGCAAATATAAAATTTCCCTGATACCTCCAATGACCAAACAACTCATGCAACTGACATCACCATCTTCTTGCTACCGCTTCTTCCCTAGAAACATTAGTGATTGACCCCCAAGGTTTCCCCATGGATAACTGCTGATCATTCTAGAACAAACGCTAACACGACTGAACTCTGACTTCATTGGGGAACTAACCAGGTAATCCGATCATAGACCCTTCAATAAATACCCCTGAATTGATCCCGGTAAAGACTCGGAACAGTAACCGAACACGTTGAAACCCTAACAGCAAGATATGAACCACTATTGATTCATGACATGCAGAATGGGATATAACAACCCTTGATAAAATAACCCAGACAATAGCAGAGAACCAAACCAGAGATAATATTTACCCAAACCAAACCAAAATTCCATAGAAATATAAATTCTGATAATAACCAAGAAGAAAGCAAAAGATAACGTACCTGCAATATCGTCTGAAGAAACCCTGACCCTCTGTTCCTACCGAAGTACCTGCGATGGAACCTAAGCTGGCCCAACCACTAAGCGGGGGCAATTTTCCTTGATATGACTAGGTTGATGACAACGATGGCACAATTCTACCTCCAATGTGCATTATTGGAGGAGGTGGCTCTTCCATTCGCACCTGCCGCACTTAGACTTACTGCGCGCATCCACATGTGCCCCTTCATACTTTGTGCAACCACCACGGCCCCTCGGGTCTCTAACACTAGATAAGGTAGCGTCCAACTGCTCAGATCGTCGAGCCAGACCATGAGTCCGCTTCCTCTTTCCCAGCTGCCTATCTGAACCAATCTCTTGCTCTAGGGTTACCCCGACCATCCCACAACCGCCTGATATGTGCATATTTA